ACAGAGATGATATGCAGTGAAAAAAGAAGGTGCATGATCAGAGTGAAGATGCCAGGAATTGATGACGGAAAGAAGGAAACAAGGAATAAAAGGCCAATTGAAATACAATTCAAAAATCAAAGACAAAGCAGTGGAGTATGGGAACGAAATTGTGGGAAATGGATTCAATGGAAAAAGCCTTGAAAACAATGAAACAACTTACACCACGTAATTGAGAGACAATGTCATCTGGAACCAACCAAGAAGAAATGTGGAATATGGTAAGAAACAAAGAAGTCGAAAGGAATATACAACATGAGCCACAAAAATGTAGGTGAATAAAAACAATACAGAACAAAGGAAATAAATCAAGCTGAAACAACTGAGAAACCCAGATGTTTGCCAGACAGTAAAGATCAATCAGAAAGACCAGAACAGGAGTGACATGGATGAACAAACATTTTGGGAAAAAAAATCAATAGATGGAGAAAAAAAACTGAAGTTATAAACTGGATGTAATCCTGTCTGAACGTATCAGCAGCCACGGCAAGTGGATGAATAACTAGAGACCAAAAACAAAAGATGTTACTACCTGGGAACTGAAAAAATCCAAAAACTTCAAACGGAGGAGTACCCAACAGGAGGAAGTGCAATTAAAATTTTGGAGGATTGAGAGGTCACTCCTTGGAAGAAAATGTGATGGGACGGGAAAGTCAATCAGCAACAATACAAAAATACCTGGAACACAACCCTCCAGGAGACGCATGTCAAGTGTGTGGGTTCCAAAAGGGAGATCTACAGTCTACCACAAAAAGAACAAGAATGAGTGTCCCCTTGTCAAGTGATAGAAGCCACCACTGTCGATTAGTCGAAAGGAAACATGAGTAATCAAATCTGGACAAAAGGAAAAGAGTGAATAAAAGCACATTGGACTGGCAGAAGTGCAAAGGTGTGAAGATGATAAAACATTTCACCCGTAGACCACTGTCCCGAAGCCTCCTACTGATTGAACCACATCCCCAAACTCTGGAGATGATCAGTAAACCTGACGTCATAAGAGATATAATCATCTATCAAATCATACAGACAAAGAGGAAAGGATGAAAATTAAGAGAAAAATCAAATAAATGGCTTGGATAACAGAAAACTCCACCGAATGCATTCAAAGAGGAGAATTGATGGTCCCAATGGAGGGGATGTTAAATATACCAACCCAAAAGAGACTAGAATGTAAGGTATGGAACAGGAAAAAACATATCCAATAGGAAAATCCATCTACCCAAGCTGACTGTGGAAGGAGTATATGAGCATGTTAAGACTACCCCAGCTTAGAAGGAGCTAACCAAAGCTAGACATCCAATGAATGGTGTAGCTAAATCCCCCCAAAATGTGGAAGTTAAGTAAAATGCAGACCACTCCAAAAAAGACATATGGAACCAAAACAAGTCCATAGGGCAAGGCACAAAACTGGGATCAAATCATGTGGTGAAAAAACCTAAGATAGCATCCCAAGAAATGGAAAATAAGAACATTTTCTGTGGGCATTCCCAGACATGCAGAAATAGGCCACCCAAATGTGATCAAAGGTTACATATGAAAACAGGGAAGACCCGAAAAACAGTTGACGCAGGACCGATCGATCCAGAACCCCAATCAGCAATGAGCATACAAGACAAATGGAAAGAACCAGTAGGTAGGACAGGTAAAGGATGAGAAGATGTGAAACATGTAAAATGAATAAAGATGATAATATCTCAGAATGAAACAAAAGAGCAACTAAAAAAAATTTAATATAACATGGCTTAGATGCTGTGCCCCTGCCTGTATGTGCTCCACCATTTCCGTATTCATGGCGTGTTAGATCCCACTTTTGTCCCCATTTTCTTGTAATAATAATTCATGATTGTGTGGCAGCTAAGCATCGGTAGAATTATCGATGTACTGCTGTCTATGATGATGATGATGATGATGCTAAATGTATAGGAGTAGCCCCAAAAAATGGACCGGTGGAGCAAAAGATCTGACCTTAGGTACATAATAATACTGGATGGTAAACAAATAGAGTGTCCCCCCCAAAAAAGATCCCAAAAGTATAGAAGCTGTATGTAGAGGGAAAGAACTGAAGATGGCAAATGCCCCAACATGGAGGGAAGGAGGAGGAGGAGGTATCCCACAGAAATCACTAAATATAAGTTGAACACCAAAGAAAGAAGGTGGAAGGTAAACATTAATTGTAG